TTGGCATTATTTATTATTATATATAAAACAATAAAAGTTGGTAACTCAAGATGTTTCTTTATATTGCCTATAAAGTAAGTTAGGTTTTTAAAATATGTAGGTTTTAGAAAGGTGTTTGAAAAGTTAAAAAATAAAATACTAATAAAATTAAATTTTAAAAAAGATATAAACTTTCTCTATATTAATATTAAAAGAAAATTGTCAAATATAAGAAAAGTAGTAGATTTTATTTTTGTTATTAAGATGGTTTTGTTAAGTAACTATAAGTTTAGACTGTTTGGTGTAAGTTATGCTAAAAACATATATTTGACTTTGTTGCTACTACTTATAATACATAATATATATAGAATTATTGTAAAAAATAATAATATAACTATTGTTAGTGCTTGTAATTTCTGTTAAGATATTGTTTAAACTAGTTTGTGCTAGTTTATTGTTATTGTTATTTGCAAATAATAATGTTATAGTAGAATTTGTAAAAAGTAAACTGGATTGTCTACTTTTTTTTGTTATTTTAAAGTTTTAAAAAAAGAGTATATTTTTTTTTGAATAGTAAATTTAAATATATAATGTTTTGTTTGTTGTTAGATTTGTTTTTTCAAAATAAAGTATTGTTAAAATTTGTAGTTTATTTTTTTTCATTTGTAACTATAATGTGGTCTTAAAGAAGAACTGAAATATAAAGCTTGCTAGGCTATATTCATTTTTTTTATTTGCAATAATATTGTAGATTCTGTTTTTTTTTTATAATTTTGTTATATATTTTGGTTCTACTATTTGCTAGTTATATCTTGTATAGTCTAAAGGCCAAAAAAAAGCCAAAATTTATATTTATTTATTGTAAAAGTTTTTACTCATATTTTTGCTAATTATTTTTTTACTTAATATTTTTGTAATTTACAAAAAAGTGTTATATCTAATTATTATTCAAGAATTTTTGCTTCTAATAATTTTATTTTTATATATATTACTTTAAATTAAAAACAAATAGCTCTTAACTTAGCCTAATTATATTTTATTTATAATAAACACAAATTATTTATATCTTTGTCTTTATAAATTATAAACTCAATTACTTATAATCTTTTATAAAATTTATCTCTATATAACTTTTTAAGTATTATAAATATTTTTAAAAGACTATAGATATTTGAAGGCTTTTTCAGTTTGCTAATTTTTTTAACAAATTTAATTAGATAAATTTTAACAAATCACAAATATAAAAAGTACTTTAAGTATATAAAAAAGTAAAAAAAAATTTTTATTAAAATGAAGTTTTTATAAATAATGTAATATATATATATATTTTAATTATCAAGTAATGCTTGAAGTGGCAATCTTGCCTGTATGTCTTTATTAAGTAATATATAATTACAATAGTCTATTAACAAAAGTATAACTAGTCACACATATAACTTTAGTCATTATTTAATTAAGAGTTCTGACTATAGTTTATTCACTAAATGTTATATCTAAAACTTATCTCTAAGTTCTTTATTTAAACTTTCTAATTTTCAATATGTTTTGCATATATATGCAATTTTTTATATTATTATTGTAGTGACATATCAGGTTAGAGCTATTTTAGTTACTATTTATATTAAAGTACTATCTTATTAAATGTTACTAAGTATTCATATTCCTTCAAATTTAGTAATACATATATATATATGTTTGTACTATATATTTAAAACATAATTAATAATTATTATCTAATTTGAAAATTATGATTATTAAATATTTACTTAAATATTTGAGATCAATTCTTTACTATAAAAATTTAAGAAATTGTCAAATAATTAAACTTAAATTTTTTAAAATAATATTAATATTAAATAAATACTTAAATTTAAAATTATTTTTTTACTTGAAAATAACTTCTTTTTGTATCAAAATTCTTACTAATAATTTATTTATTATACAAAATTTTAATATTTTTATCTCTATTTTTATATTACACCAAATTGCTTTTATTATATTAATATTAAAGATACTCTTTATTTATTTTTATATTTTAGTAATGCTATAAATATTATATAATTACTTAATAATACTATATATAATACTTTTTTATTATTTTAGATTACTAATATAATCTTAACAACTCTACTAAATATTTTTTAAATTTTATATTTAATTTTTTAAATTCTCAATACAAATATATTTTATATATTATTATTAAAACTTATTTTATTACTATATATAATAATATCAAAATACTTATTAATAAATAAACAAATGCTTTTCTTTTTTACTTCTTTAATAATCTACTTAACTGGTTTTTTATCAAGATCTCTAATATATAAAAATTAGTTTACTAATTCTGTCTAGCTCTTCAAATAATATTAATTTTTTTTTAATCTATTAATTTTAATTATTATATTATCAAATGATTCTTACAAGGTTACTTATTAACCACTTGTATTAACTAATATTCAGACAATTACTTAAAGGTTTTCTCCAATCTATCTTAACTAAAACCTAATTTGAAATAGTTAACTATAGCATCTATAGAAAATAGAAGGTGTAATATTATATTGAATACCTTTTTGTAACACAAATATAGTTTAGAAATCTTTAAATTTAAAACTTATATTTTTATATGTAATAAAGTTTCTACTTGAACATTATTTTAATAAAAAAAAATTTTTTATAAAAAATTAGATGTAGAATTTTTAAGTTTAGTTAAATTGTTATAAAAATCAGGTTATTAAATTCAAATACTAAATTTTTAACTAAATTAGATTGAATTAATATAAAAGTTAGTAAATTTTAAAAATTTAACCAATTTATTGCCAATTTTATTAAAATTCAACTAGGTAAATTTCTAGTTTTTGACTAGTAATAGCTAAAAATATAATTTGAAAAATAAATTTAAAATAGTTGCAACTTTTAAAACATATCAAATATATAGAAAGAAATATTAGTAAATTATATAATAGCTTAACCAAGAAATTTTCTGTTCTTAAGCCTGAGTAATTTTCAAAAACTGCAAAGAAAACAAAAGAAAATATTTAGCAGTAAGTTGAATCATTCAATCGAGTGGTTAATTTGTATCATATACTTAATTTTATTTGGGAAATATGTTTGCAGTTTTGCGATATTCCATTTTCAAGAGAGTTGTAATACGTAGGCTTAGAAAGGGTGATGTAGAGTTGTAACTAACATTACATTTGCGATGCGAACATTATAAACTAATTAAAGTTAAATTTGTAAATTATAATGCATTCTTTCCATAAATTTTGTGATAATGTGTTGAGAAGGATAAATGTGTTACATTAGCCACAGTATTCTTTGCTACTTAAGGACACTTCTAAGATCGGAAATATGTAATACACGAAAATCGACTTCAAGAGTAGTTCACATGTACAACTTGGAAATAAATTTAATATGCAGAGACCTGTTCGCTAAATATTTTTGCAGCCTCTGGAGTTTAATTTGTGTTAGGTCATATGGTAGTTTGTTTACACGTGCTTTATATTCTTTCTAATGTGACATAATTTCATGCGTAGGTTGTTTTTTTAAAAATATATTTGTGATATATAGAAACCTTTTATTATGTAGAGTAGCCATGTGAACTTTATGAATTCTAGCAATTTGTCAAAATGTACTAAAATTTGAGACTCTTTCTTTCCAAGTGCTATGTTCCAAAATTGATTATAAGAAAAAAAAAGAAGTATGAACTTTTATTTTGTATTACAAATCAGATTTTTTCTTTTTAATAATGTAATATGGTTTACAATTGCTTAATTACTTTCATTACTTTACACCCAAATTTGTATCATGCATACGTACCGATATTTAATGTTTTGTGTATCATATATGTAATGGGAATCCCTGCATTATCGTTATTTTTATAAATTGAGATTTACAAGATTTAATCTTAAATTTACATACCAAAGATTACAAATTGTTGATAAACCGGGATTAGGTTTGAATAAACAAGATACAGGGATAAAAATTAATACCCCTTATTAAAAGTGATTTAAGTGATTTTATTGAATATATAGTATACATAAATATATATAACTTGATAAGAATGTTGTTGGCGGGACAACTACATACTGAACCTCCGTATATGCCATATAGCCATATATTGCCACATGGTACGGTAATTTAATCTTCGCAGGAAAAAAATATATTATTAAAGAAAAAAAGGCGCGGAAAGTAGGTAATATTTTGTATCGGTTTAATATGTATTAGTTTAATAAGGAATATTTTTCTTGGGTAATTATTTTAATTATTTATAAATTTATCCCAAACAACATGATATTCTCTTGGCTTGTTTTAAAGTCTCTTTTCTATATATAAATGCTTTAATTATCAATTATATGCACAATTTGTAAGACGATATCATTGAACTATACATGTTTTTGATTTTATAATTCTCAATGAAAGTAAATTTATGAGCAGAATTTAAATGAAATTCATATACATGAATGGATTCATTTATAAGTCAAGTAGCATACAATTAAAACTTTTTTTAATTCATGCCAAGATATATGCAGTTTCCCTATTTACCAACCTTGATTTTTATTTATTTTAAACTTGCGTTTTTTTTTTTTTTTTACAAATTTAATTATTATAAACGTAATATACTACATATATATTTATATAAATTATATAAAAATTTTTTTTTCAAAATTATTTACTATATAAAAATTATTACAAGCGTATATATACTATATAAAAAATAAGAAAAAGAAACCAACCTTCGTTGGCACATTTCGTTGGCATCAAAGAGAACCTAATCTATGATGATTATTTGTTCTCAAAAAATAAGATGTAAAATCTATATCATATCATTGTCTTAGAAAGCTATGAGTAAAAAAAAAAATAAAATAAAAAAACATAATGTGGATTATTACATCAAACTAATTTTTTTTTTTCTTTTTCTTTTTTTTTAAAAAAATTTTTTTTTTCACAATTTCTAAAAATTTGTATAAAGTTGCTCTTTAACAACAGTTGTTTTTTTTTGTTTTTCTGTACAATTTAATAAGCTAATTTCTATCATATCTGTATTTATAAATAAATATATCGGTATATATATATATATATATATATATATATGTTGGATTTTTTCATTGTAAAGGAAAATTATAGTTTGCAGCAGGAAAATTATAATCTTCGTGAGAAGTGTTCGATGTAATAAAATTGGAATGATGGGATTGTAACGATAAATGTACATGATTGTTAGATTGTGCAGGCAGTTGAATATTTGGTTGTTGATTATCAATTTGGGACGGGGCGTTAGTATGGATATTAGCATTGATATTAGTATTGATATTAGCATTGGAAAGAGATGCTAACGAAGAAGTCCATGACAAATATTCATTTGGACTTGTTGGTGTTGGCGGAGGTGCTTGCGGTAAGGATGTAGGCATTATTATTGGAGTAGGTTGAGAACGTATAATATATCCTGGAATATTCCAATTAGTTGTCGATTGTGTTGTTTCATCAGAAGGCATTTGTTGAATTGTAATCATATCCGCAGTGGTAGTTTGAACTGCAGGGACATTCATATTAATACCATTTATATTGGAAGAAAATTGATTTTCTAAGTTTGTAAAATTTGGTTCGTTCATTGTTGATGAAAAATTTGGAGTAACAGGGCTATCTGCAGGCGGTGGCATCAACTCAGGTATTAAATTAAATAACGATAAAATTGCATCCAAATCCGGTTGTGTGTAAATCGTAATTCCTTGTTGCAAATTTGCTGGCGATGATACTTGAGGAAGTGAGTAATCAGCCCATAATTTTTGTTCCGGTCCTCTATTATGTGCACTACAACTACAATTAGGACAATGAGATTGGTAATTTAATTGTACTTGTTCACCAGGAAAATCAGGCGTTTGGGGCGGAGAATTATTGTTCTTGAACATCGGATTGGCCAAATTTGAATCATTTTCCTCTTTTTGATCATTATTTGATTGTAAATCATATACAGAGAATGCTGATTCCATCGAAGCCTGTTTTCTATGTTCTATAGGAACTTGAGAGGCATCCTTTGGCTCAAAGTCGGATGCTTTTGCTGAATCTGTTGAAGGAAGAGATAAACTACATTTATTTTTATTCTCTCTTTTCTTTGGTCTATATTTATAATATGGATATTTCTTTTTATGTTCTACGAGGGCCAAGTCAGCTTCTCTTTGATATTGTAATTTAACTTCCTCAGATTCTTCTCTCCACATCTCTGCCACAGTTTTGGACGGATGACGTTCATCGGATGCAGTTCGTGCCTTAGTCTTGATTTTTGCGAGTTCCTTGGATTTAGTTCGATGATATATAATGAATGCGTTTGGTGGTCTTGGAACTTTTACATCATAGGACTTTGACGAGGTTAACGAACCACCGTTTAGTCGGCGTTTCTTTAAGTTCTAAAAAAAAACAATAAAATAAAAAATAAAATAAAAAATTATTATTTTTAATTAATTTTAATTAGTTTTAATCATTCAAAAAAAAATTCAAAAAGAACAAATACATAATTATTTATTGATGTATAATATTTACCCCTTGATAACCTTCTGGTGCCCATAAAAGTTGGCCCTTACTTTGATCAAAAGGTATCTCTGGTAGTAGTCCGCCGTTAGCAGCGGGAGGTGGCGAAGATGAAGGATTATCAGCGGGAGAACATTGCTGATTTTTTCGAATATTTAGTTGATATTTTGACGTGTTAGGTACTTTCTGCCTTGTATCTTGAGAAGGTTTTTGATTATTAATAATTAATTGTGACGATTTATCGATTCTAGAGATTTTCGAAGCAGAGTCTTGTAAAAAATGTTGTTCAGGATTCGCCACGTTTCCTTGGTCAGTTCTGCAGGAACGCGACCCTTTTTGTTTAATTTCCATATCAGAGACTGAAATGTAAAGAAAAAAAAGAAAACCGAATAAAGTGAAATGCACGGCACTACTCTAAAGACACACCGATACGTCTAACTCGGTGGTTAAAGAATTGGTAAAGGTGGGAATTAAGAGGTTTGTTAGAGAAAGTGAACGATCGATTTCTCGTTTCCGGGTTATAACCTGCTTGCAATAATTTTAAATTATCAAAATCCTCACTGTATATATACTTGATATTTATATACTATTTTACAATACTTCTTTTTACGTACAAATATGTTATGTGATATGTTGAATATTAATTTTCACACCGATATAATTTAATGATCGAATATATATTTGTCATACCAAAAAATAACATGACAATTTTATAGGCCCTAAAAAAAAAATTCGAGCCCCCCCAAAATAGTAATATATAACGGAAGTAACGATAAACCAATCTAATTCTTTATTCGGGTTAATATTTTTCTTGTACAGTAAAAATTAACTACTCAGTAAAATTGCTAATCTTTGATTAAATTTGAATTTTTTGTCGGAAGCCGTAAAAGAAATTAGGATGTTTAATTTACCTATTTTATCGTTTGTACTATTACTATGACCCAAGACACTTGCTCGCAATTATGAACCTAGTGGGTTTTCTTGTAATCTATCTTAGTAAATTTTCAGTGGTGATCCGATTTGGAAAATAATAATGGCAATGTCTATTCCCCCTGTATATTATGTTACACGCCTATATATCATATAATAATCAAGATAACTTTGCAATCAAACAGTATTTTCTCGTAAACTTTCAGTTAGTTTAATTTCTACTTTGCACACATATACATCTTAGCAGAATGATTTGAATTTCTTTGTTTAAGAAAGCTGTCACAAAATGTTTAATTACGGAATTAATAAACAGTTTCTGAGAAAATGTAACTAAAAAAAAAAAAAAAAAACTATTGGAGATTTGAACGTTCCTCATCGAAACTTTTTAAGGTTACCGATAGTATGTCGGTTCCAAAAATAATTAAATTATTTTAAAATCTGTACCAATCCAAGCACACGAAAAATTTTAACTATTACTTTGTTTGACAGAGAGGAATTGCCGAAAAGACACGAGTTAATAGTAGATTTAAAGTATTTCTCATTGTTTATATGTTGTGCTTCATTCGGAACCACCCCCAAAGACCGAAATTTTTTTTTGAATTCATTACATTAGCGCGCATGCAAGTATTGCAAGTATGAAATGAAAACAAACAAATGAGTATATAATAAAAAAGAAATATGACTAATTCAGGACAGATAATTTCAGATGACTTGGAGTAAAGTGATGTAAATGCATATTATTATCTATATTTTTTTAAATTAAATACAATTATTGTGATATAGTAATTTAAATTTAAGCATATTTAATTACTTAATTATTTAAACTATTTAAATTATTTAGCATCTCAAACTTTCACATGATGATTAAATTGTCTGATTTTAGGTTACAACTGATTTTTGATATATTGTATTATTATATATTATTAAGATTATATAAATTTATATAAATGATGTTTTTTAATAATAAAATTACACCAATTATATATAAAAAAAATTATTTTCAATAGATAAATAAGTAAATAATATAAATAATAATTTAAATTTGTTCGGTATTTTAATATTTTATTAAGATCAAATGGGATAAAATATGATAAAATTAGATAAAATAAGATAAAATATTAATCATCTTTATAATACATCTTTATAATACTTGACATTTATTTACATATTTAAAAATACAATAAAAAATAAATAAATAATATATAAAAAAATTAAACTTTTTACATAAATGTGATTTTATCGATCTTATTTATCGTTGACTTTATAGCTAATGATGTATTATTAATACAACAGTATATTTCTGATTTATCACTTACAGAACTTTTATTTAACGCAGTAACCTAGCATGATAGTGATAGTAAGGGATATTGTATCCAATAACTCTAATACATATGTAGCTAAAAACTCTAAATAATAAAAGATTACCTTGCACTAAAATAAATGCTAGGAAAATAATGAAGGATACTTGTTTTTCATTTATAAATATAATAATACCCGAATTATAACCGAATTATACAGGGTAGCTGTAAAGTGTATAAAAAAAGATTTATTGACGCTTAACTACCAAATAAGGATAAAAAAACAATAACGAGGAGATAAACTCATAGCATTGAAATTAAACGAAAATATACATTGATTATGGAAAACGAACTCCTCGGAACACTAAAATAATCATTGTAATCAAATTATTTTTGAGCGACTTCCAAGAATAAAAAAAAAAAAAAAAATTACGTAAATAATTACATTCTTTTTTAATTGCTAAATTTAAAAACCTTTATGACATACCCATTATAAAGATCGACGTTTCCATTATGTATATTATGTATATCAATCAAAAATTCCAAATTTCCGAATAGTCTTACAAAACCAGATTAAGAATTAAGATCAGCACATCATGTACAAGCATATCATAATTCCCTTTATAATCGAACAAAATACTACATTATTATCGAATAAATCTTAAATGAATGTAACGAATTTTTCGCCTCACCCAGGGATCCCTGCATTTTTCCTAAATAATCATTGTGTTTTTTTTCAGTTATGACAAGCTGAAACTTTTTTTTTTAGAAATACTTTGTTGTCCTGTAAAGGAGATAAATTTAACCATACGATCAATTAATTATTGGCATAGTAAAAAGTTGTGATTCATTAATTTATTTCATTATGGTAAATGATCCGAAGAAAATGGGTACAACAGTGATTCGAAAGCTAGAAGATAAAAACTTTGGAACGAATTATTTAGCCAACATAAACTTTATGACATATAGTATTCCCATACTTGGACATGAAATTTTTAAGAATTGATACCTTTACGTGCTTTACGTGCTTAACGTGCCTAACGTGACGTACATCATCAATGTTACTGGTGATTTTAAAGGAGTACAGATGAATTGAATATAAAAAAAACGGTACATTTGATGTTGAAAAAGGTTGTGTTCGACTGTATCGTTGCCAATGAGTAACTCCAATGAATGACTCTGATAATTGCCACTGAGTAACTCTGTTAATCGCCGATGAGTAACTCTGCTGATTGCTGATGCAGAAAATCTTCCTTAATGTATACAGAAAGGCTAAAGATATTTGATTGATTCGTAAATATTCATAAATATTCGTAAGTATTCGTAAGTATTCAAAAGTATTTATAAGTATTTATAAGTATTTATAAGTACTCATAAGTATTCATAAGTATTCGCAAATGTTAATTAACGATCCTTGCTTTTAATGTAATTAAAGGAACAAATCAGCTTCAACTAGTTAAATGTGTGGTGAAATTCGCTTTCATAATAATATGTTAATTTATGCTAAATGATCCTATGTGCTTAGCTAAAAGGACATAAAACGAATATTTAGTAATGAAACAAAAGGTTTTAAAAGTTGATTATTAATCTTATTAATCGTTGTGGTAATTTGTAATTAGTAATTGGTAATTGGTAATTGCATTGAGGGATTTTAGAACGTGTATATTTTCTAAAGATGATGTCGTCGACTTAATTCCGGGGTAAATATATTCTGTTTGAGTAATAGACGTTCAATAAATAGATATTCAATACCGATACGTAATACGTAGATGTCAATAATAGATGTTCAATAATATAGATGTTCTAATCGGAAATTTCTTATTTTCATGGGTTAAATCTTTGCATCATTATACAGCAATATTTAAATAGATGTTATACAACATAGAGTTTAAATTTTCAAACCATATGATTTGTGTTGATTTTAAGTTGTCATAGCGTAAGATAAAAACAAAAGATTGATTATTATAGAAATATTTAAATTTCCGCTTTAATATAATTAATAGTTAATATATGATAACATTGTAATAAAATAATTATTATCTTTCATCAGAATATTTATTACATACATTAGATGGTGTATTTTTTTTAATGAATATGAATTAAATTTTTGCAAGTATATAAATTATTGTAGATTATTGTAAAAAGTTTGTGCTATTTGCGATATTTACGATATTTGCGATATTTACGACATTTACGACATTTGCATTTATGATATTAGCAACATTTGCGATATTTGCGATATTTGCAATATTTGCAACATTTGCGATATTTACGATATTTGCGATATTTACGTTATTGCGATATTTGCGACATTTCGATACTTGATATTTGAGACCATGATTGAGCAGAAAAGTTCCACCAATAACATCGTAGATCATTATGGTCATATGAAAGTCATGTGACCAAATGATTATCAGCTTTAATCGATTAAAGAAATATTCCCTATCGCTATTGTAAAATACTTTGCAAAGCCAAACTTTGCCCAAAAAGGTTTATACTAAAGTATTAAATGACAAAAAATTATATTGTTCAGTTTTTTTTTTCTTATATCTATAATTTTCTTAAAAGGTGTTCAATAACAACTATAGTTACTCTAAAGAGAAAGAATACCTAAAGGAATAATTAAGGGATAAAACAATAATTTGTTTGTAAACTAAATGCGTTATATTGTATGCACACTCTAAATTGTAAACAAACCATTTTATAACAATAAAGGACGTTAGATCATTTAACGCTGCACGTCAATAACAAAAACAGAACCTAAAGGTTAACAATGATTTTAGATGTGACAATGACAATCTCTCTCAGTCAACTTCCATATGTATAATAAGCACGGCATTTTCAGAATAACACGGCATATTGTGTCATTAACGTTTTTGTGATAAAGTTGAATGGTAAAGTTAATATGAATATTACGTGATTTATAATAATAATGTACATTTATATTTTGAGTGTGATAAGCCGATGTCTTTAAAAGTTAAATTTTTTTTTTTTAATCGGGGTGATTATGTGATTCGCCAGATATCTATGGATAAGCAAAGAAAATCTATTATTGGTTGTATGCTACCATAAAAGTTTTTAACTACTTAATTAGACCACGATATCGTTGAGGGTTTGTGAATCATTAAAACTTGTCCTTGCAATGAAATACTTAATTAATAACATCGTATTTATTTATCCTTGTTTTATACACTGCTTATGCAAATATATGTAAAGCTTTGTCACATTATACATTTATTAGACCATGTACATTAAACATCATTATCATTATGAGAAAAAAAATTTTTTTTTAAGTTTGTTATAGTTGTTGTAGTACATGATATTTTTTTAACAAAGATCAGAGAACAACGTGTTTGTGAATATTTGTAATCAATATTTTTAAAATCATAACTTTAGAAATGTTAGCTCAGTATGTTTTTTTAATTTAAGTCTAATCTTTGCCACGTATGGAATTTCCGGGCATATGTAATTAGATACTCAAACATTTAAATATTATAACAAAGAATTTTTACAAGGAGATCAACTCCGAAAAACAAAGACTATTTCAACCAATCCTAAATGATCATAGATCGTTTAACTAAAACATTTACTTTTTTTTTTTTTTAAAACCGTAAATGAACAAATAACTCTGAAACATTCTAAAACATTCTAGACTTTCAATACTTTGAATATTTTCAGCATTTTTGTAATTTATATTCATATATATTAATCTACATTAATTTACATTAATATACTTTAATATTACTTTAATATTACTTTAATATTACTTAAACATTACATAAACCACATTAATCTTCATTAACCTTCGTTAATCTTCATTAATCTTCATTAATCTACGCGAAATTTAATGCCCCAAATTCGGAACCTGAATTTATTAAATGGGGACTCTTTATTTTAATCTGAGTTAATTTGAGTTAACCTGAGTTAATCTGAGTTAATTCATGAGTTAGGAGGCCATGAGTTATTTTTTTAAAAAAATTTCAAAAACTTTTTTTACTTGTTTTCGTTTGACTACGATCTGTTGTTAAGTACAATGAATAAGCTTTAAACTTTTTTTTAAAAAAAAGAAAGTTTTCTAAATTTAAACATTCGTAATCTGGATTATAAAAAGCTTAATCTTTATTGTTATCTAGATTTAAAATTTTTCATACGGATAGTCTAAATTAATTTATCCCGGTATACACAGTTATGATTACATTACACACATCATTAATAAACTATATATTAAACTATATATCCACGTTTTTTTGCTTAATTACCCTTGTCAAACTATACCCCCTGTATACCTAAATGCTATCTAAATGTATCTAAATGCTACTTAAATGTTTAGAAATATACAAATACATATATATATTTGTCTATTTGTAATTCTATAATTCCTTTAGCATTATATTATGTTTACATATATTCTGCACACGTTTTTAACATATCTTATACGTACAATGAATCATATAAAGAATCATACATAAAATCATACATGGAATCATACAGAGAATCTAGAATACTTAGAATTAATGTCCATCGTTTCTACGTAAGTATGGTATGTACTTACCCTCCTTGTGTTTTAATTTTAATTAAAACTAAAAAGGAATATGTTGACTGCGGTTTCTTAGAGTATCCTAATTTGTTTTTGATTTTTATTTTTTTCACACTTTTTTACATGCATTAAGACTATTTAGAAATAAATTTGTAAAACTTTCTCGCGGAGACCCTAGCTCTCTTGTGTGTGATGCAACCATGTAGTGTGATGCAGCGCCAATGTAATGCTTCCGTTCATTTGCTATTTCGGGTTATCATAAAGTTTCAATATCTTTTATAATTTCTTTTATAATTTAGGTTTTTGGAAAATCATTGTCCAACTAGGTTAAAGTTTTCGGGTTATCGTTTTCTAAAGTTTATCTTTGTGATAATGAATTTCCGATCTTAGATCAAATGTGAAAATATGTACTTCCGTATCTTCCCGTTGTTTATCAACTCTTTTACCTTATCCATTTTAATCTACTGAATTTCTTTCCTTATCCATTGAAAAATCCCTTATTAAGTTTTTCACTTTTTATAATATTCATTAAGAAAGGATAAATTATTTTTTTATCTAATCACTTATTGTGTGACTGTTCAACCAATTCAAGGAGTAATGTCATCTTTAATGTCCCCATCTCTTTCTAAATCGATTAGTTGAACGAAAAAATAATAATTACACAAACCTATTACTAAAAGGTTCGGCTGACAAATCGTTACATTTTTGACACAAAATTTCGGTGGCTTTTACCACGATGCCGTTGAAAACTTTTCGTATAATATATATACAGTAATATTTATTTATACTTTTATGTATGCTTATTTAAATTTAACGTTAATATATCGATAAATGAGGCATGCAAACCAAGTTATTTTGTTTCTGCGTCAAATTAATCAATCTCTTATTAATTGAGAGGGAACTTAAAATAATTAAAATAAATCATTAAAATAATTAAAATAAATCTAAAATAATTTAAAATAGATTAATGTTTAAACTTTTTCGAATTTCCAAAAAAATCGGACAAGATTGAATTTTTTTTCTCAAAAGTTTTAATAGAATCCAAAAAGAGACGCAGTACGTACGTAAAAGAATTTTTTTTAAAAAAAAATGTACGTGAACTTTGAGTTTCATCGAATAAATCGATCAAATATAAATGGACTATCCATTATGATAATCTATCTATAGATTTTAAGTTGCATCTAATTATATTGTGATAGAACCTAAGTGACCTAAGTGATGTGCTCTCTGAAAGAACAGTTAGATGTACTGTATATATCATAGACATCATAGGCATTATAGATATCATAGATATATTTATATTTATATGCATACATATATATATTATATATTTTACTTAACCAAGTCTATCAATTTCTTTTTTTTAATTGAATCTATTAATATTTCTAATAAAACTAATGTTATCTGTCAATATTCCTATATATTACGTCAAATTAGCATGTTATGGCATTCGTGAATATATGCGTGGATACATTCGTGAATATATCTAATGTGATTATGATGAATTATTGACATTGAATATGTATGAATATATTATACAGTAAAGTATAATAAGGTATGATAGAGACGACAATGTGAATCAAGAATTCTGGGGTAAAAGAATAAATTATAGGGGAGTGTACAGTATCAAGGGGTTTATTTGTAGGTTACAGTTTATGATGATCCATAAGCGACGCCAAAAGCAATAAATGACATTTTTTTTTAAAAAAACTTTAAATTAATGTATCCGTGCGTAGTTTCATAATATTTTAAAGTAGCATACTTTCGCGTATCATTGCACGTACATACATGTTTAAATAATGTATGTACATTGTTAAAAATTCTTATCTAACAGAATTTCGTAAAGAATTGAAATCATGAATGGTTAAGATGCTTGTCCTTTGTGCAAACTGTTTCGAAAACAGTGGTGCGGGTGTTCCGAATAACAATGATAGATCCTATTTTGGAAAAATTAATGCCACACTTTGTTTCTGAGGATGACTCACGAACGTAGGACGAAATGTGAGGAGTAAAGAAAATGTATGAAATATTAATCTAGCGTGCTAATATTATGTAAACTAACCGATTAGACACAATCGTTATGTATAAAGGTGATGTTATGGAATTTATACGTATTAACGTAGTATTAACGTAGTATTAACATAGTATTTCAACGAAGTACTTCTGGTCAGGTGAGTCATACATGCAAGTACTTGAACAATCTTACAGTTCTTTTTTATGCAAGTTTCAAGAAAGAACCAATCCCAAACATTAAAGGGGAAAGAATCTAAGAACACAATCAATTCAACTCACGTTCGTACGTTTAATCGAGTCACTGACATGCAAGTACGTACGTTATTTAGTATATGAAAAAGGTAGTTTCAAATGTCAGAATAAAAGTGGCTTGACTTTCAACCAATGAATAAACTTTATGGTATGATCACTGGATGCGCCTTTTCCCCGCTTAAATGATTTATGCTTTTTGATTTGCGCGATAAACATTGTTAAACATTGTGGAGATGCATATATTAATATTTTTGTTTACAATAGCTAATAATTTACAATAGTTTATACGTAATAGTTTATAATAGTTTATACGTAATAGTTTATAATAACTTACAATAGCTTATAATAACTTACAATAGCTTATAATAACTTACAATAGCTTATAATAGTTTACAATAGTTAACATGGATTTATTAATTATGCTCATGCAAAACTTGACAGATTCGACAGATACCGGGGTCATGTTTGACATACAAAGGATGTCAAAACATAATATTAAACCGTTTCTAGTAATTGTACGTGCGTTATCATCAGCATATAATTAAATATCGAAAAAAAAACAATTTATCCTATCATAAATAAACAATATTTTGATAACAATTAGAATTAATTGGATGATGAGAATTAGAATTAATCGGCCGATTTTTTTTTTAAATCAAATGTTTATAAATTTAATTTTATTGTTTTTTTGTTTTGTTACTATATATCGTAAATACTGTAATCATATCCTAGAAATTAATCCGCCAATGGTTAACTGAATCTGTGGAAACATATGATTATACTTCCGTGCGGTAACCAATTGAAAATCATGAAAGGTTTATATAGTTATAACTTTAAAATGCAAATAGATAATGAATATAAATTTTAGTTCAGCGTTAATAACTCTAACAGTAAAGATTTGTATGCTCCTTGTTATATACATGTTTTTATACCTGTTATACTTGTTCTGACAGATCGAAGATCCTTCTGCATCTTTATTGATATTTTTTGAATTCTTGGTTTTGGACTGTCAAAATAATAGATTAGTATCAAAATTTGATACGACATGTTAACGTGCTACTTAGGTTACCTATTTACTGTAGAATTGTGGTAATGTTTACTTGTTTGATATCTACATATCTATTATTGATATCTGTATTTGCAGTATTTGACGTATGTACATCATATTAAATCATACGTATTGAAGAATCGGGATCGTCGCAGATTGTGTTCTATCAGTAGATCAATGTGGCTTATCAACCTTAAACAATAGTTGTAATCATTATAGATAATATTAGTTATTATTATAACTAATGCAATATATATTCATAGGATAAATAATGCTACTATACATGGTTTTTAAAGAAATTAGTTCAAATTGTTCCATTAAAAAACAAATGAACCCATGGGATTGTCTTTTCGGCAGTGGGCTATTAAATTAGCATTGTCCAGCTTTATAGTATATGTATACGATATCTAATACCGGATATACCGGCTATTTAAATTCCCTCTTGTAAAACATACTAGTTATTTGTTTACTATTCTTTTAATTAATAATTAAAAAATACCATTTTACGTCAATATTGTATTATAAAACGAAAGGTGCATATAATTCTTAACGGTAACAATTAAACATATAATAACATATAATTGAATATAATGTCATGTCCGATGTGCTTATTTGATTTTTCTAATTAAACAATCCGGTACGTTCCTAATTCGTTTATTTTGAAGTGTTTTCTTTCCTAATTTTCTCCTTTGTGCTCTTTAACCCCCACATATAGTCCAATGTTTTTTAAACACGCATGTCTTGATAGCGTGGCAAATAAGCAAAGAATTGTTTCATGCAAGATTTATAAAATCCGTGTCAATAGCTTGCATTGTGTTTTTGTCTTACAAAATAATATTAAATTTCATAACTCATCGATTAAACATTATCAAACACATTTAAACACATTTAAACACATTGTTTTTTTAAAATATATGAACTGTTGATTTTAATTTAAAACTTTGGGTAAAAAACATGAAACGCACGTTATGTAAATTATGTAAATCAAAAAAAGGTACGAAAAAATTACGAGTTTTAGAAGACAATTGAACTTTCCGGAAATACTTACTGAATTTCCTGATCTAAAAATAACAATGTGGGGAGAAATTAAACTGTATGATGATATGCTTATATGTATTACTGTATTAACGCAACTCGTGAATAACTCGAATAACTCGGGAATAATATCCTAAATAAATCTATAGTTCCTTTCCGAATAACTTGTTAGTGTTTAAGATGACAAATGTGTCGATGAAATGTATCAACGTTTAATGCGTAATATTGAAAAACAATCGATTTACCCTGCAAGGAACACAAACAGATCTTACTTGCCTATTATGGCTTCTGATCTTGCGTTCAGGTAGAAAATGAATTTTTTTTTTGATTGATTCTTTACCGTTTACTATGTTCTAATTAATGCATGCATATACATTTTTTTCATCACTTTATTAAAAGTAAAAATATTCTCGCAATATTTTAAATCATATTTTAAATAATATTTTAAATAATATTTTAAATCATATTTAGATAATATTAGATAATATTTAGATAATATTAGATAATATTTAGACGCGATCCTCTGTATCCATTCAATTACATTTGTCGAATGAATATCAATCTTTAATATCATTTGTATTATTTGCATCATTCGTATCATTCATATCATTTCACTTCACATCATCTGTAATACGCGTCACACAACGTGTAATTTACCATATACTTGTGTAATCAGATTAAAACAATTTAATCCATATAACTTTTGTATTCAATTCCTCAAACATTCTAGATCGTTGCACATGTGATCTTTGCGCAACCATAATATCATTGTCCGGAGTAATTTCTTAGAATTTACCTTAGCATTTATCGAACGATTTATTACGTAAATGGTCAGGAGAACAAGTAATATGCAAAAAATCATTTATTATTTATGGATTTATTAATTATGTGAATTCCTATTATATGATTTCTGATTATACGATAAGAATTTTATTATATGCCTATTTTATCTAGTTTTATGATGTCAGGAATACGTATAAATATAAAAAAAATTCCTGCTTTGTAAGTTCTTTTTTCTTTTTGGATAAGAATATTATAGCAGATCAATAGGCATACCAAATCATATTATTAAGAATAATCCGAATTTTGTGTATTCAGATTTACACTCACGAATCATCTTTCTTACTTTTATATCGAGGTAAATGAAGTGGATCTTGATCAAAGTTTATTTGAAGCATGGACTGTGAACTAACCCCTTTTACTATATGTGATCTTTTTAAATTTAAGCTTGTTTATAACCTTAATATATTACAAACAATAAAAATCAATTCAATTATTCATGATTTATTATGAATTATTATGAGTTATTCTAAATTATTATGCCATTTTTTTTAGCATTTTAACAAAAAGTGATCAGGTGTTTTACTATATTATATAATGATAACAAAAATCGAATGTTAATGTGGATACGGATATGGATGTGGCTTGAACAAGATTTCGATCTATCCATGACAGTTTGTGATGCATAACAATAATAAATAAATGCGTGACGAATTATCGTTATCGATATTACTTTACTAAATAATTAATAATTATCATGTGATTCTATGTACAAAATGTACGATTTATAGATATGTAATAATATCGATATCAAATGAAAAAAAAAAATCATTAAATTAATCTGGAACGGTCTCATTATTACATTTACTTAATGGTTGTATACAAAGTATCATCATCATTACTTGCAATAAAAATTATTTGAATAAACCTCTTTGTTCTAGCTTGTTTCCTAACTTGTTATAATAGTTTTCGTATCTTGCATAATTAAAAATATTTTGAAAATCTAACCCTAGCATTTAATCTAATATTAATTAATCTACAATGTTTCATTCCGAAACTTGGCAAAATTGCAGGATTCACACATTTTACACATCGATAGTCCATTGTGTAAAACTTGAATAACGTACATCAAATGTATCGTCAATGTATCGTCAATGTATCGGAAGGAAAAAAGTTTATTCAAATTTTACCTAATTAAATTTTTACATGCGGTTCGGAATCTAAAAGTTTTGAAACAATAATTGTCGCAAGTTGTCACACCGGTCAGTATCACGACACGACGAATGTAGGTTTATTTAACACACATTGTTATAGATATATTTGGAGTAAGATTAAGGTATCACTGTTGTTTGAGCAATAATCATTTCCGGTCATTCATTCTCATAAATCTGATCCATTGATATCTATTGATAAGGAGGTGCACACTATAACTTGCATATCGATATATCGATTACCTTTACACAACAAGCAAGGGTCTAACAGTAATATGTTTAAGATTTGGTCACAGACGTTTTCCGTTCGAGACGAAGAATTAATAATGCAAGTTGCATATCTTTGAATATCAAAATCTATTTTAAACACAATGAAGGGTCAATGTCCTTGTAATCGTCCTTGTCAATTTTTTTTGTGTAATCTTCATCTTGTATCATTCATATCATTCATACCATTCATATCATTCATATCATAATATATCATATTAATTTTGATAGAATCCGCGCGTAGTATAAACCACGTAAAAGAAACTTTTATACCATACCCAATTATTTCAATAAAATAAAAATAAATGAATGCATACTATTACAAATTATTACACACATTACTCACATTTACTGCAGAATTTGAGATGCGAGGTAAGTGTACATGTCAAGTAATGACCTTTTTGACATATTCTCCTTACTAAAGAATAAATTTATTAATTCAAAGACACACAATATTGACATTATTGAAAACGTTAATGCATCATATATGCGTCGTTATATTTATATTGTTTTTCGTAAAAAAAAAAAAAAACAATCTTTAAAAATATGAACTGTAAAAATAGTGTCTGTTACCTGTACTCCAAAAATAGAAAATGGTATCACTTTAGAAGGAATATAGGATAGTGTATATTAAAAGTATTAAATTATTAAATTATTAAAGTATTAAAGTATTATTAAAGTACTTTATCAGTCTGTAAATCGTTTCGCCGGAACTGTTCACTATTGTAAAATTTTTTCTCGATAAACCTATTTTGTTAAAACCTAGAGTCCAAGCTTATCCATTCATTAGCTGTCAGAAATTTGGCTAATATCATATATCATATATTAAAGCCACACAAACAATTAAAACAGGTTAGATACATGGTCGCTCAAAAAAAAAACAAAGGATGATTTACTATTAAAACAATTATATATATGGTTTTTATATTAAAAATTTTATTTATACATTTTTATATTCCCGACTTTATAATCTATTGTATCAGTTTTTTTTTTTTTTTATTTATACAATATTAAAGTATATGAATAGTATGCACTTATTTATATTGGGAAAAATTAAATATCGACCTTTGTTCGTGAAAATTGTTATAAATCCTGCCTCTCTTTCAGCAGATTCTCACTACGAACTTAAACGGTTTTTTTTAAAAAAAAAAAAACTTGTGTAGTTTTCCAATTTAATATCCTTTTCGTGTGAGTGAGAGAAAATTTATAAATTTTCTCCACACAAACCTTCTCATATTAATTGAACGAATTAAAAAAAAAAAAAAAGTATATAAAAAAGAACAACGTTTATTCGTTTTCTCATTTGCTATTACTTTTCGTATTCGTAGTAGTAGCATTCTTTTATAAACTCACTAAAAAATTCAAGTTTTCGATAAAAAAAAAACACGCTTTTCAAAATGCCTTCACCAACATTTCCACAAAATCCTAAAACCACCAATGCTAACAATGAATTAGTGTTTGAAGTGTTAGTTCCACCCTCGCCTACCGAGACGGCCACCCAACAACCGTTGAGGACTCGTACCAAGAGAATCAACCGTAATCATACAAATGGTAAGGTTTATTGGATTCCGCATGGGTATCGTCCCGTCCTGGTTAGGACGGTTGATCTTCCTTTGCTTGTGGGAGAGTGTCCATTGCCATCTCCAACATACGACTCTGATGAGTCGAGTTATTAAGCTCCTACGTTCTCATGAAATACTTTTTACCAACCACTAAGAAGACTATGAAACGAAGAAGCTTATTATTACTAATATATTATATCATATATATATTCTTATCGGACACTCTCAATCCTTTACATCTTTAATACTCGCCACACAGAAATTGGTTCAGAAAAAAAAAAAGACAAAAAAAAAACTTTTTTATGAACATTACCAATTTTTGTTTTTTCGACATTCAAATGTGTCCGAAACGATCGAAAAAAAAACAATATTTTTCACTCTTTTTTCCGTTGAGCGGGGAAAACTTTGCAAATTGAATTTTTTTTCCCGCATAGATGTGTAGATAGTTTTTTTTCCCTCTTATAAATATTTTTTAAGATAAAAAAAGTATATCCTTTTAAACTACTCTCAAATTCTGACGTGACATTAAGATTTAAGTTGAGAACACTGTCTTTTTGTCTCTGCCGTCACATTCTTTGTAATATTTTCTCTCTTTCGATTATATAGATTTCCCTTTTATTAATCACCATTGCCGAAAAAAAAAAGAAATTAAACATTGTTTTTATTACCCAATAACCCCAAAAGACATTTATTCTTTTTCAAAGAATAATCTCTCCCAATCTAAGCGTTAAAAATATAAGCATACAACCAAACTACCCATAGAGTCGGGTAAAAAAAAAAGAAATCAAAATTAATAATTGAGTAATCTCTAACTACTTACTCTTTTTAATATTTTGATTACATGAAGACGACTTTATGGATTAAGATTAATTTTTAGATTAAGTTTGTTTTTTTTCTGCACGATTCATTTATCTCTTCCTAACTTGAGTTATGAATTTAGCATTTAAAAACAAAAGTCTTTTTATGTAAATTTTTTTTTTCCTTTTGTCTATAATTGATTTTTTTTTTAAAAAAAATTATATGATCTCCCTTTTTTTCTTTATTTTTATTTTTTTCCCCTTTTTTTTTTTATATGTATATATATGTAACATTAGTTCTTTTTTCACAAACGATAAATTTAATATTTTTCGATTTTAACCAATCTTGTAGTAGTTTGTAGGAGAAGTGGTGTATATTTGAGAAGTAACCAACAGTTTTTTTTTTTAAAAAAAAAAAAACTGTAAAAAAATTATAAATTGAATTATATTAAACTTATCGTTTAAAACTTTGCACATTTTCGTTTGTCTTTTATTTTATTTTATTTTGGTTATTGGGAAAATTAAACATGTTTTGATTTTCTTTTTTTTTTTATAAAAAAGAAATAAAAATAAAAAATTACTCAAATTACTCAAATTAACAATTGTCAAAAAAAAAAAGTAAACCGTATTTTAAATTATTTGAATTTCGTGACTAATAACTAACGCGTTGTTTTGCGTGATCGGTTGTAAATATTTATGAATTTATTCATGAATTTTATTTATGAATTTATTCATGAATTTTATTCATGAATTTGGTTTAAAAAAAAAATTATGGTTGTTCATGAAAGCTTCAGACAAAGATTTAATTGCTGCGCCACAATTTTATTCATTAAAAGTAGGCCCAGGTAAAAAAGTTCTATGATGACGATCATCAGATTAAACAATAAAGCACCCCACACGATGACACAACATAATTATTCTTTCGTATGATCAAACATTGATAACTTCCCGTGATTTACCCATCAAATACTTGAGAAGATTTATTATATAGGATTGCTCTACGGTATCAGGTGATATGACAATCTAAATTCATTAAATTGTTCTTAGAATAATATCAATGGTCAAATTAGAGTTTCTGTAAGATTGTACTCCTTAAATTCAAGAGATCCTTGTAAACCAAAAAATTTCTTGATATTGAATGGCGTCATATTAATGTTACATACGGGCGGAAGAAGAATTAGATATTCAATCTTTGTTATATTCTATCTTTCGTTATCTTTGACTATCTTTGACTATATATCTTTTATTTAACCAATTTTTATATTGATGTAATGCAATAAATATATTATATGTATTTGTGTTACCAGCCTCAAAATTTTATTTCAAAATTAAAACTTTGTGCCATTAAAAGAATTAAACTGAAAAAAAAATCATTATAATTTTGCATTAATATTTATCATGTTTAACCTCCTTAATTTTTAATTTTATAATAACTAAACCATTGTAATCTCTTACGTGAAGATCTGGGTGCCTTAGTAAATGAATCAAATTTTAAAAGTTTAAAAAAAATTTTTTTTTCATAGAGTGAAAGGCTTGATGCTCAGAATCTGCACTCATTATACCATTTTGATTGATGACTAAACATGTTAGAATTAGTGATAGAAAGTTTCCCCATCAGATTAAAATTAGGAAGGTTGTTTTTTTCATTCGTAATTCGTGTTATGTCTGATGTAATGAATGAATATTTAGAAGAAGCGCGAATTTAGAAATGATAAATACACAACGTACTAATATTTGTAGAAAGCTGTACAAAGAAATTGCTTACTTTTCTAATAATTTTTTCATCGATAAAAGAAAAAAAAAATTTAAAAATGGTCAAGTTTTGTCGTGAAACCGTGCACAAATTTAATCGTAGCGTTGTACAAATTTACATTGAAAAAAGAGAACCATGTGAATCGAAAATTTTCATGACTTATAAGGTTTTGATAGCATTCATACCTCTGAGTTTCGAAAATGCCGACATGATACGTACGTATGTACCTAAGTACGTAGATAGTTGATAATATTTGGCTAGTGTATCACTGTCGTAATCACTGTCGTAATCACTATTAAAATTACCCCAGCATTTATATATACTCCACACAATATTTATCAAACAAATAAAACTGGTTTTTAATTGTTTTATGTCGAATGAGTTTTCCGGAATTTTCTCATTTTATTTTCTTGCAAAACGTGTCAAAGCAAACGTATTTGATTCGTTAATACAAAAAAAAATCATCTGATCGATATATCAATTGTAGCGGCGCAGTAAGTACGGAATTAACCATTAACTCCGTCCAATACTCAATAAACCTTTTTTCGAGTAAATGAATGCGTGATATATTGATACGATGCATTTTATGTTTTTTAACTTGGTAATGGCTGACATAGAAATATATGAATATATGGATATATGCTAGTAATATGAGTATATGCGTATATATGAATATATGCTAGTAATATATGAGTATATGCTAGTATATGTGCTAGTAATAATATATATATGCTAGTAATACGCTAAATAATAATACGCTAAATAATAATGCTCTAAATAATAATACGCTAAATAATAATATGCTACCTAGTAATGTGAATAGTATGCTATATAGTAATATGTAGGCAACTTAATAATACTGATGCATAAACTCGTGAAAAACCCTATTAAATATCAGCCCTTTAGCTTTCGATCTAACCTCTTAAATCAACAGCACTGCATTAAATCTGAGAATTATACGCACGCCGTTAGTTTTATTTAAACAAAAATAAAGGCACATGATGGTTGACCCTTACGACCGATCTCTACTTACACTTTTCTCCCGTCAAAAAGAACCTTTAGTATTGGTTTATTCTTTCAGAGGATATGAATTACCAATCAACTTTAATACATATATATATATATATATATATATATATATATATATGGATTCCCCAATTATAAAGACAAACTATTTCTCATAAGATTGTGATGTTGTGCGATATTCTTGCAGGGTTTGCAGGGTTAATACCAATATCACAATATAAATATTGTTCATGATCCAGGAAATGATTCTCTTTCGTTCGTTCGTCAAAACTCTAACATAATCTATATATATGCAATTACGCATTGACCATTCGAAAAGATATAGAAATTCTCTGACTCCTTGGTTAATATAACTATACCTGGAAGCGTCATTTGACCCTTGATCAATAAGCTGTCAGTCTCCTGTTGCCTTTCTTGCCTCTGGAAATTCATTCTTGGAATTTGCATAAATCGTTTGTATAGCGATATAGATTTATATTTATATTTATATGTTTCACCGTATCAGGTTACCAAATTTCCTTTGATCGATTGGCGCTAATATTTCATGTAACACGCATCGTCTGATTGATTGATAAATACTTTCCCATATGGTGCTTGAACAACGCCTACCAAGTATCACATGACAATAAAATGTCGACAATTATCGTTATTCAATTGTAAAAATAATTACTTGAATTAAAAATTGATGTTTTCTGAGTTAGAAAATAAACGTTGTTAGTAACTTTTAATTGATCAACATTTATTGCATGGGCAATTCGAAATGACGATTATACGAGAAAGTTATAGTGGCGTTAATTCGACATCCCCGCTTTATGGATACTATCCTATTTGTGGTATATGATTTTTTATGTTAACAAAATTTGGATTTCTGAAACATTCGATTAATGTCGATCAAGTTTCATTGTGAAACTATGCCATTGACAAAACAATGGTTTGACAAATTTGCTCACCAATCCGTTTTCGGCAACTATTGTCTACTAGACCAAAGTTGGTCTTACCGTTCTTGAAATTACAAGAATTTTTTTTTTTTTAATCTCAAAGTTTACTCCAACATTACCAATGATGACCTTCATATTATACTAAGTTTAGTGTAGAATACAAATGTTAATGCAGAAATCATAGTATATTACTTGGTCTTTTATCCATATAAAAAAATTCTTGCATATACTTTCTAACTTTCTAAAGATATTAGGCAGTAAGGATGACTATCAACTTTGCATTTGATATTGTCTGTTTTTTTCCTCTAACTTTTTATCGAGCATTAATTTACGTCATCCACTTAATAATATGCATAACTGAACTCATTATTTTGATTTTAAGTTTTTTGTTTAATTTTCAAATGATTACATTTTTTTTTTTACCGCTAAGTTGACATGACATGATCAAATTTACATTTTTACTGTTACATAGTACTTGATTACAATTGACAGTTTACAAGTTTATACAATCGTTGTAATCATTTTTTTTTTAAAAAAAAGAAATCGATTTTAAAAGAGAGATATATATTTTTCTATTGTTCTCTTACATGAATCTATGTA